AGTGTTGTTATAATATATTTTATAAGAAATTATATTATTATTTATATTATATTATATTATATTATATTATTTATTTATATTATATTATTATATTTATAAATTATTATATTATATTTATTATATTATATTATATTATATTATATTATATTATATTATATTTTATATTATATTATATTATATTATCTGTGGTGGACTGACCAACTGTTCAGAGTGTTGTTTATAATATATTCTTATAAGAAATTATATTATATTATCTTATATTATTATATTTATTATATTATATTATATTATATTATATTATATTATATTATATTATATTATATTATTATATTTATAAAATTATTATATTATTATTATTTATATTATATTATATTATATTATATTATATTATATTATATTATATTATATTATATTATATTATATTATATTATTTCTTATATTTACAATACAATACAATACAATACAATACAATCTGTGATGGACTGACCAACTGTTCAGAGTGTTGTTTATAATATATTTATTAGAAACATAACATACATTATTTATAATTCACCTCTATAGCAATTTTATTGTAATATGTGATCAAATTCAAACTAATTTATGTGGTTTCTATATATATATATATATATATATATATATATATATATATATATATGCGCTTTGAGTGTAATATTTCGCTTAATATATTAAAACATGTCATGAAATTGTACTGCATAGCAGGAATGAGTGTTTAATCATGTGTATCGTACTGGGTCTTCAGGTCTCTGGTCGTCCGAAAAGAGCGACTCTGGTTCCAGTCAGTGCACAGAGGAAGAGGTCCCAATGCCAGTGCAGGAGGTGTGTGGGAAGACTGAGAAACTGGAGGATGTCTGAGAAAGGAGGAGGAAGAAGGCCGCTGATGCGTCTACAGATTGAATTACTTTAGGATTTAAATCTGCTGCTGCCATTTACTCAAGAGAAGAGTGAGAGGTGAAGAGGTGGCTCATCTGAAGCTTCTGTGAGAATGACTGTCCATCCTGAGAAACGCTGAGAGACGGTCACATAAAGACACACTCAACATTCGACATGGAGCTAATTTTTAACTTTTCTTCTCTGCACACCTGTTTGTATTTATAATTGGGTACTTACTGCACAAAATCCCCGTGGACTTTAAGGTTAAATATATATAAATGTACAAGTGAATGTCTATATGTTAGGTAGCTGTTCATCATTTTATTTTCACAATTTGAATCGATTTAAAGGCTTGTTCGACTTCATGCAGCTCTGCGCAGACCGATCGCGGCTGACTTGAAGCAGTTCGAAATTGTGTCCGACTTGATGCCGACGCCACATGACTGTGACGTATGACGTCAAAGTACCGCGAGAACGATTCGACAGCAGCCGCGTGATTCATCCATCTCTATATCACGGCTCTGGGCTGCACGAGCTCTGTTGACGATTCACGATTGGCCCGATTCACCGCATGATACACTGTTTCGTGTTCATTCTCACACCTTTCCACAAATCTGTTTCATAACAGTAAAGTCTTAAATTCATGTAGTGGTGATATTATAATTGTGTCATGTTTATCAAAATAAAACTGATTTAAAAAACGTAGACCTCACTACATTGGTTTTTAAACAGTAGGCTATAGGCTTATTTGGAACGTTTTTCTTGTACAAACAAACATTTACATTACATTTATGCATTCGGCAGACGCTTTTATCCATAGGTAATCATTTACCATCAGTTCTTGCTTTCGCTGGGAATCAAACCCATAACCATGGCGTTGCAAGTTCCAGCGCTCTAATGTTTGAGCTACAGGAAAGTAGCTCAAAAACTACTTTGTTGTTTGTCAAAAACAAACAGACACTCGCTGTATTAAGCAGAACATGAATGAAAATATTTCTGAAAAGTGTGTATTTGACTAATATTGCGTTTATTTCACTTCAGCTGTGGTGAAGTATAGAAACACAGCGCGAGCGTCACTACGGGAAGCAGAAAGTGTCAGACTTCACGCCTCCCCGCCTGCACACTCTCACTGATTGGTTACGTTCAGCCGCAGCCGATGTCCAACACACCTAATGTCTCAAATTATGAGGTCATCATGTTTTCTATCCAATCGCATAAACAGAAAAGGAAATAATAGTCCATTTTGCAGTGAAATGAATTTAATAATAAATTTAATACCAAAAAATAAACTTTTATTTATTTATATTGCACTGTACAATCAATATCAGGTATAAAACATGTAAATATACGACATAACACAACGATGACACAACGTGCACTGCTTATTGAGTTCCCAGCAAAGAAACACTGTTGACATTTCCAGACCACCATCAAAATGTCAGGGCTTTTTTGACAGCACAATCCAGCATGGCAAAAACCAAAGAAAAGAGGAAGAACGCTGACAACATCAACCAGGGACTTAACGTGATTGAACAATGATAAACCACTGGGTTTGTGATATTAACAATTGTAACAGAATTAATTACGGCTATAAATAAAAATGTTTACTGTTCAAAAGATTCAAAATGCCCCATAAGTTACTACATAGATATTCATTCCCAATATAGACAGAATCAATCGATCGATCTAAACATTACTTACTTAAAATAAATATCTCAACATACAGTATAAGTGAATCTTCTGAGTGTTTTAGAGCTGCTCTTTGCCTTTAAACACTTTGAAAAGAGCTTCGTTCCTGAGGGTCATTCAACCATCATGAGACCTGCAGTGAACTGAAAGCCTGTGGTATGTCGACATTAGGATCCCACAGCTGTTCTGATGGTTTAGAATCACTGGTTACGCATAAACGTATTACAGTACGGGGAACATTTCAAAGCTGGCATGAACTGTCCCGCTCATACACAACACTTTTCGTCATCCATACCGTCACTCAGGTCTTCCCCTAACACAGTTTCTCTCTATGAAATCCCCTGCCTGGGTTAGAGTTTTAAAACTGGCTGCTTATAAAGCATCAGTTAAAACAAACCACACAGCAGTCGAACGGAAGAAGAACGGACACAAATTTCCCATGATCCCTCACAGCGCCTCTTCTTTAGATATGTGGCACTCTTTCCCTTGCTCCTGAGATGGGAAGAAGATAAAGTCGTTCTCTCGGCTGCGTTCCTCCTCAGACAGATGGACGGGAGGAGACTGAGGGGAGGAGGCGTTGCTGTCATTTAGTGATTGTTCTTGGAGTTCATGTGCTTTTTTCTCTCCTCCATCCCATCCAAACTGATTGAGCAAACTAACAAAGACTGTTTGGGGATTGTAGATGTGGAGAGGACCTGCGACAAACAGAGATTTTTTTTTAATTTGTATACTATTTGTACATTTGGTTGCTTTTTTTCCTCATTAAAAGTTGTGTTTAAAAGGTGTTAGAAATGTTTGTATTCATATTGGTTTCATGTTATTTTGAAATAAAAAATAACTGAATGACTGTAAAAGCGTGATGTGGTGAAACCGTCAAGTCATAAGTATGTTATACATTAAATACACGTTGTTCATGTTTTATGGGGAAATCACATGATGGTTTTTTTACTGTACAAACTGTATATTCTATCCGTAACAGATTTTAATAATTCTATATGATTTATAAGCCGTTTTCCTCGTGGGGACCAAACAAGTCTTGCAAGATGTAAACAACACTGGTCCAGAAGCACTTCCTGTTTCAGTTTTTTAACACTACATAAAAGCTGGGATAAAATACAACCAGCAGAACATTTAAAACTGAATCAAGAAGTTAAACAAATATCTTTAAGATGTTTTCTTTACATGTGAAATAAAGAAAACAGTTACAAACTGAAACAGGAAGTGTTTCTGGACCAGGGTTGTTTACGTCTTGTTAAATGGTCTATAATAATTCATAAACATCATTAAATTTTGGGGAGTTGCACCACATGACCATTTTACACCTACACTAATCTTGCTTTGTCATAATAGGTTCAAATTATCTGATATTTTAAGCAACTTTATGATATTCCCTTTTGTACTTATTGGTTTGACCACATGACATGATTTCAAAGACAAATCAGATATTTTTCAAATGTTAATGAGCAGCGAAACAGTTTTGTTAACAAATGATAATAAAAGATTATGCCAAACTACTTGATAAGGATTTATTTTCAAGATGTTCATTCTTTTAATGCTCTTTTTTGAATAATTTTACTATTTTTTATTATGGTATGACACACATTATTTTTAGTTCACGCCCCTTACTTCATGCCATAAAGTTGTAATTTTAGGTCATATGTTTTAAAAAATTAATAGATATGGGGAGAAAAAAAAGCATGTGTTTGACCCTTTCAATAAAAGACAAAAATCACAAAAAGCATCCTTTTATAGTACCTATATTACCAGGTACTATAAATAATTCATGCTGTCACATTATTCACATTATTTTTAGTTCACGCCCCTTACTTCATGCCATAAAGTTGTAATTTTAGGTGATGTGTTTTAACAAATTAATAGATATGAAAAAAAAATGCGTAATTTATTTGCCCTTTTTAATAAAAGACAAAAATCACAAAAAGCATCCTTTTATAGTACCTAAACTGCCAGGTGGAGGCACAGCCTGCTCTGAGCTGACTGGCTGATGAAAAGAGCAGTCTGTGCTGTGATTGGTGGGTTTGCTGGCATGTGACAGCATCCCCTGTGGGTGGGGCTTCTCATCTGGTTGGCTGGGAGAAGGGTTGGTCTCACTGTCCACCTTGAGAAATTGAAGGACTGTAAGTTAGATAATGAATGTTAAAATACTGCGCAAATGTGCACTCACTCGTCACTTACCTCTATATTACCCAGAGAGCACTGCCTGACAACTAATGGAGAGGAGAAACAATGAGAGGTCAGACAGAGATTGACCCAAAAAGAAGAAGAAATGTGTGTGTGTGTGTGTGTGTGTTACTCACAATGCTTAAAACACTCCTTCTCCTTCTTTCTGCAGTGCCGGAAGAAGAGTGTAAGGATGATGACAGTTACCACGAACAAAATTAATCCAAAAATACACACCAAGTTATAGTCACCTGTGAAATAAGCACAAAGAAGGGAATTAGCATAACTATTTATGTTGAGATGAACAGCTGAACAGGTGAGATGAAAAACGTCCTATATTGCAAAGTGCTCTTAAAGGGATACTCCACTTTTTTTGGAAATAGGCTCATTTTACTACTCCCCCAGAGTTAAACAGTTTTCGAATCCATTCAGCCAATATTTTGATATTTAGAAGAATATCAGTAACCAGACAGTTTCTGGTCTCATTGACTTCCATAGTATATTTTTTTTTCGTAGTATGGAAGCCAATGAGACCAGAAACTGTCTGGTTACTGATATTCTTCTAAATATCAGAAAATCGGCTGAATGGATTCGACAACGGTAAAACTCAACTGTTTAACTCTGGGGGAGTGGTAAAATGAGCCCATTTCCAAAAAAAGTGGAGTATCCCTTTAAATGGTGCTATCGTTAGATGACAGCAAAAAGTACTTCAAAATCTAAAAATAGGCACAAATAAAACATCCAAAAATCTACTCGCTAGTTCCTTTTTACAGCCTTGCTGCGTTTATACTTGCACTCTAGCAAACTATTTCCAACTGGATGATTAATAGTATTTATATTTAAATTTGTATCAAAAGTTTAGAAGCCAAACAATACTTTGAAACATGCTCAAAAAAATGGCGGATTCATCCACTATAACAAAAAATCAGCACACTAGATCCTAAGGTGTTTTTCAAATAAGGATGGAAAGAGTTGCCAGAAGTTTAGTGATGGTGACGGTGAAGTCATGTGACCATGGTGTAGGTGCTTTTTTGTGATGTGAGCCAGGGTGATGCTAACTTCTGGGTTGGCCTACAAAAATAGGTCATCCATAAAAAGATTCAAGCCCACCCTTCTGCTCCCACTAGTGGCAGACCCCTAATCACTTATGATTTTTTAAACTTTTTTTGTCAGCTGAACCTTTTAGAATGAGATTGAAAAGGCCATTATACCCTTTTTTTCAAAGTCTTGATTTTGATTTTGGCTCTACTAGAATAGGTTTTCATGCTTGTATATTCAAAAAACACATTATTTTCCATTTATTGCAGGACCTCTCTTCCCAGTCTGTCAGTAACGCTCTGTTTAGATTATGTCTCTATGAAGCCCCTTCTTCCGAAAAGCGCAATGTGCTCTGATTGGTCGGCTTGGCTGGACAAGTGCGTTCTGATTGGTCAACTGCTTCGAGTATGTTTTGGAAATATCACACCCCTCACCATAACCACCAGTTTCAACACACTACTAAACCATGCAACTCACTAACAACTCAACCATGCCTCGGCTAGGGTGACCACCCGTCCCGCTTTGCGTTGTTGTCTGTTATTTATTGTTGATAACAACAATTATCTGTTGTTGTTTAACCTGTTTCCTGCTGTGGTTGTTTTAATTCTCATCCTTTTTTTGGGGGGTTTTGGTTTTTAATATATTCTTAAGTCTCATGGCCCTCTATCAGAATCCAGAGTTTTGAGAGGATTGGAGAAACTTCATTTTTCGCCTGAAAAAAAAAAACGAAAGGGGTACCACTGTCGTTTTTTTTTTTGGGTCGAAATTTTGAGTTTCGATATCTCAGCTCTGGAAGGGTCTAGAGCCTCAATTTTTGCAGTCAGGTTTAAGTCTCATGGCCCTCTATCAGAATCCAGAGTTTTGAGAAGATTGGAGAAACATCGTTTTGCGCCCGAAAAAAAAAAACAACGAAAGGGGTACCACTGTCGTTTTTTTTGGGGTCGAAATTTTGAGTTTCGATATCTCAGCTCTGGAAGGGTCTAGAGCCTCAATTTTTGCACTCAGGTTTAAGTTTCATGGCCCTCTATTAGAATCCAGAGTTTTGAGAAGATTGGAGAAACTTTATTTTTCGCCCGAAAAAAAAAACGAAAGGGGTACCACTGTCGGTTTTTTTTTGGGTCAAAATTTTGAGTTTCGATATCTCAGCTCTGGAAGGGTCTAGAGCCTCCATTTTTGCACTCAGGTTTAAGTCTCATGGCCCTCTATTAGAATCCAGAGTTTTGAGAAGATTGGAGAAACTTTATTTTTCGCCCGAAAAAAAAAAACGAAAGGGGTACCACTGTCGTTTTTTTTTTCGGGTCGAAATTTTGAGTTTCGATATCTCAGCTCTGGAAGGGTCTAGAGCCTCCATTTTTGCACTCAGGTTTAAGTCTCATGGCCCTCTATCATAATCCAGAGTTTTGAGAAGATTGGAGAAACTTGATTTTTCGCCCGAAAACTGAAAAAAACGTAAGGGGTAACACTGTCGTTTTTTTTTTCGGGTCGAAATTTTGAGTTTCGATATCTCAGCTCTGGAAGGGTCTAGAGCCTCCATTTTTGCGCTCAGGTCAAAGTCTCGCGGCCCTCTATCATAATCCAGAGTTTTGAGAAGATTGGAGAAACTTGATTTTTCGCCCGAAAACTGAAAAAAAACGTAAGGGGTAACACTGTCGTTTTTTTTTCGGGTCGAAATTTTGAGTTTCGATATCTCAGCTCTGGAAGGGTCTAGAGCCTCCATTTTTGCGCTCAGGTCAAAGTCTCGCGGCCCTCTATCATAATCCAGAGTTTTGAGAAGATTGGAGAAACTTGATTTTTCGCCCGAAAACTGAAAAAAAACGTAAGGGGTAACACTGTCGTTTTTTTTTCGGGTCGAAATTTTGAGTTTCGATATCTCAGCTCTGGAAGGGTCTAGAGCCTCCATTTTTGCGCTCAGGTCAAAGTCTCGCGGCCCTCTATCATAATCCAGAGTTTTGAGAAGATTGGAGAAACTTGATTTTTCGCCCGAAAACTGAAAAAAACGTAAGGGGTAACACTGTCGTTTTTTTTTCGGGTCGAAATTTTGAGTTTCGATATCTCAGCTCTGGAAGGGTCTAGAGCCTCCATTTTTGCACTCAGGTCAAAGTCTCATGGCCCTCTATCATAATCCAGAGTTTTGAGAAGATTGGAGAAACTTGATTTTTCGCCCGAAAACTGAAAAAAACGTAAGGGGTAACACTGTCGTTTTTTTTTTCGGGTCGAAATTTTGAGTTTCGATATCTCAGCTCTGGAAGGGTCTAGAGCCTCCATTTTTGCGCTCAGGTCAAAGTCTCGCGGCCCTCTATCATAATCCAGAGTTTTGAGAAGATTGGAGAAACTTGATTTTTCGCCCGAAAACTGAAAAAAACGTAAGGGGTAACACTGTCGTTTTTTTTTTCGGGTCGAAATTTTGAGTTTCGATATCTCAGCTCTGGAAGGGTCTAGAGCCTCCATTTTTGCGCTCAGGTCAAAGTCTCGCGGCCCTCTATCATAATCCAGAGTTTTGAGAAGATTGGAGAAACTTGATTTTTCGCCCGAAAACTGAAAAAAAACGTAAGGGGTAACACTGTCGTTTTTTTTTCGGGTCGAAATTTTGAGTTTCGATATCTCAGCTCTGGAAGGGTCTAGAGCCTCCATTTTTGCGCTCAGGTCAAAGTCTCGCGGCCCTCTATCATAATCCAGAGTTTTGAGAAGATTGGAGAAACTTGATTTTTCGCCCGAAAACTGAAAAAAACGTAAGGGGTAACACTGTCGTTTTTTTTTCGGGTCGAAATTTTGAGTTTCGATATCTCAGCTCTGGAAGGGTCTAGAGCCTCCATTTTTGCGCTCAGGTCAAAGTCTCGCGGCCCTCTATCATAATCCAGAGTTTTGAGAAGATTGGAGAAACTTGATTTTTCGCCCGAAAAAAAAAAACGTAAGGGGTAACACTGTCGTTTTTTTTTCGGGTCGAAATTTTGAGTTTCGATATCTCAGCTCTGGAAGGGTCTAGAGCCTCCATTTTTGCACTCAGGTCAAAGTCTCGCGGCCCTCTATCATAATCCAGAGTTTTGAGAAGATTGGAGAAACTTGATTTTTCGCCCGAAAACTGAAAAAAACGTAAGGGGTAACACTGTCGTTTTTTTTTCGGGTCGAAATTTTGAGTTTCGATATCTCAGCTCTGGAAGGGTCTAGAGCCTCCATTTTTGCGCTCAGGTCAAAGTCTCGCGGCCCTCTATCATAATCCAGAGTTTTGAGAAGATTGGAGAAACTTGATTTTTCGCCCGAAAACTGAAAAAAACGTAAGGGGTAACACTGTCGTTTTTTTTTCGGGTCGAAATTTTGAGTTTCGATATCTCAGCTCTGGAAGGGTCTAGAGCCTCCATTTTTGCGCTCAGGTCAAAGTCTCGCGGCCCTCTATCATAATCCAGAGTTTTGAGAAGATTGGAGAAACTTGATTTTTCGCCCGAAAACTGAAAAAAACGTAAGGGGTAACACTGTCGTTTTTTTTTCGGGTCGAAATTTTGAGTTTCGATATCTCAGCTCTGGAAGGGTCTAGAGCCTCCATTTTTGCGCTCAGGTCAAAGTCTCGCGGCCCTCTATCATAATCCAGAGTTTTGAGAAGATTGGAGAAACTTGATTTTTCGCCCGAAAACTGAAAAAAACGTAAGGGGTAACACTGTCGTTTTTTTTTCGGGTCGAAATTTTGAGTTTCGATATCTCAGCTCTGGAAGGGTCTAGAGCCTCCATTTTTGCACTCAGGTCAAAGTCTCATGGCCCTCTATCATAATCCAGAGTTTTGAGAAGATTGGAGAAACTTGATTTTTCGCCCGAAAACTGAAAAAAACGTAAGGGGTAACACTGTCGTTTTTTTTTCGGGTCGAAATTTTGAGTTTCGATATCTCAGCTCTGGAAGGGTCTAGAGCCTCCATTTTTGCGCTCAGGTCAAAGTCTCGCGGCCCTCTATCATAATCCAGAGTTTTGAGAAGATTGGAGAAACTTGATTTTTCGCCCGAAAACTGAAAAAAACGTAAGGGGTAACACTGTCGTTTTTTTTTTCGGGTCGAAATTTTGAGTTTCGATATCTCAGCTCTGGAAGGGTCTAGAGCCTCCATTTTTGCGCTCAGGTCAAAGTCTCGCGGCCCTCTATCATAATCCAGAGTTTTGAGAAGATTGGAGAAACTTGATTTTTCGCCCGAAAACTGAAAAAAACGTAAGGGGTAACACTGTCGTTTTTTTTTCG